GCCGTGGCGCTGCTGGCGCTCGGCATCCTCGTCAAGCTGATGACCAGCAAACACTGACCCACCCAGGGCCTGTGGGGACTTTGCTCTGGGGGGAGAAAACTTCTCCTGACCCACGGACCTACAAAGCACAGACCGGCCTGAGAGAGAACCCAGCACACGCCAGTGCTACGGGAGCCCAAGGGCCCCCAGCAGCTCTTGGCAGCATCTGCTCACCCACCGCTCGGGAACGGGCCCCGTGGCTGCTCCAACCCCCAAAACTTGGCTCTGGGCTGCCTGGTGCCCACCAAGCCTGGAGAGCCCCCTCCTTCCTCCTGCCGACCAGAGCCGAGCACAGCCTGGCTCACACTGCTGCTCCAGCACCAATGCCAATAAAGAATAAATCCAGGTGGACTGGGGCTGGCTCCTTCAGGTGGAGGCTGAGGGCAGGGGGGGGCTGGAGCAGGGAACACCCAAGGCTGGGGGCTGCAAGCTGTGCAGGAGCTCAGGGAAGGTGGGTCCTGCCCTGCCCCAGGTGGCCTTCACAGTAACCAAAGGTTTTACTCAGAAAGCCTCCAGGTCAGCTTGCAGTTACATGCTTGGAGGTGAAAAAAACCTACCAGTGAACCAATAAAAAACCCATGGAAGTTTGGTTACAGATGAGGTGTTCAGCCACTCTGGCCAAGGACTTCCCCAGATGTGAGACCCCGGTGGCAGCAATGTCCCTGTCCTTGCCCCAAGGAGCCCCGTGCACCAGTGGTGCCGTGGTCCCTGGTGCTCCTCAAGTCCTTGGGGCAGAGTGTGGCTAAGGGGGCTTTCCCCTGCACTTCACCCTTGAGTCCTGCCACAGGTTTTTAGAGACTCTTGCCCTCTGCTCTGGGCAGGCTGCTGGGGACAACCAGCCCCGAGTGTCCCCATCAGTCACACCCACACTGCATTGGGCTTGTTGCTGGCGTGGGACAGGTTCCCCCAGGGATCACAGGAGATGCTGCACAGACAACAGGCTCAGTAACAACTGCCTTTATTTTGATACCCTTGTGACAAATAATTTCTCCTGTTGCCAAGAGCTTGTAGATGGGCTCCTGTCTGCAAAGCAGGGCAGATGCTGCCTCCTTCCATCTGCCACCACTCACTGCTGAAGTTGGAACAGATTCCTGTGTTTCAGCAGG